AAAGCCTCTTTATCTTAAATGTATGACACGTAGTCTGTATTCACTATCGAATTATTTATTTTTATTCCATACAATTTTATTTTTGTCTAAGGAAAATCAAGTTCTGTCTTAGGTCTTCTTTCTTTGAATTGACATAAACGTCCTACCGTTGTACAGGACATAAAGACCTTTATGTAACCTAGAAAATTCTAGAATAGAAGTATGCTTTTGATATCTTTTTTGATTAAAGAATGCCCTTTACAAGTTACATAAATACTATAGCACAGCAGGTTACGTAGAATATAAATCTAGAACACAATACAATAATAGTAGTTAAAACAAAGTAAACAATTTCGATCCAAGCTCATTAAAACTAAGATAACCTTAGGAGGTAACCCAATTAACTTTTCTTAGATAAAATTGTTAAACTAGATTCTAAACTTGATCGCTTTTGCCTGTTTAAATTAATTATATTTCATGCTTTTATTCAATAACAATATTGTGAACATCGACTAAATTACCTATGGCGCAAATTATCTTACGTATATATTCTTGGAAATTTGACGGTTATTAAATTTTGAGCTTTATACAAAAATTCCTACGCAAATAAGTTAGTAATGAGTTGGTTATTGTTTATTTTAATTTGAGAGTCAATTTTCTGTCAGATAATTTTACTAACAAAATAATAAAATACTTGTTTAGAAAAGCTTTTCTAGACGCTGCTCTTTTAAGGCATTCCTTTATCTAATGAATGTAAGTGCGACGCAAAGGGAACAATGCATATAACACTGAATTTATATAAAAAAACTAAAGCTGATAATGATACGATATATATAACTATACGTAAACAAATTCAATACCAGTGTTGTCAGGTACGGCGTTAAATGTTTCTCTCTGGGGACAAATTTTTTACGTTAAACTTTTTATTCACAACCAACATTTTGTTTAGCCAAAGTTTTTTCATTCGAATTTTTACAAACATAGAATCTAAATACAGCAGGTTGTTGTTTTGTACTGCGAGTGATTGAGTGAATGAATTGGATCAACGAAAACTATTTGTTCACAACTTTGAACATGTCTTATAGGTGATTTGCTGTTAGTTTTACAAATGATATCTATTGGTTGTTTATCTACGAACAAGGGCTTCTCGCCTAATTTATATAATTGAACTAGCTGACCGGGCAAACGTCGTTTTGCCATATATATCATTTATAATAAAAAAATAGGGGTTGATCGTAGAGGGAGGAAAGTTAGGGGTTTGTATGTATTTTTAATGCTGTATCATAAAAAAATAAAAACAGAAAAAAATATCTAAAAATAATAAAAAAATATTTAGGGGTGGACTACCCTTAACATTTAGGGGGATGAAAAATAGATGTTGTCCGATTCTCAGACATACCCAATATGCACACAAAATTTCATGAGAATCGGTCGAGCTGTTTTGGAGGAGTATGGCAACGAAAACTGTGACACGAGAATCTTAATATATATATTTCTTCTGTGCGTGTGTATGTGACTGAACTCCTCCTAAACGACTGGACCAATTTTGGATGGGGGGAAATTTAGGGGTTTGTGTGTGTTATACAAAAACCAAGAGGACAGTCTGGGAATGGTTTAGATTCACAAATCAGCCCGACAGTTGGTGCTACAGTCGGTACTTGTCAAAATACTTTGTTTAGAATATCTTAATCGAGTTGAAATATCATGCAGGATATGGCAACGTAAACTGTGGGGTCCACTAGAATATTTTTATATATTAGATTGAATAATGTTGGCTAGTTAGTTTACAATTGATAAAAACACGGGAAGCTCCCAATGAATATTTACTACGGTGCGATTTCCAGTTTCTTTTTAATAAGAAACAAATTCTGTCTCTAAGAAAATTAAATTTAGTAACTTTTAGGTGCATATTTGAGTTGAATGTTTGAAAACATGACTATTTTTGGCTTTTTCATCTTAAGTTGCGTTTTTGAATATTTAAAACGTAAAACATAAGTGGTCTGAAACCTACTGAACTTACTTAGTTTTTTGTCCTATTTCATCACATCACGAGATATTCTCTTACTAATCGTCGACCTTATATACGTTTATATACAAATCATATTTCGTAAGTTTTAAATAAAATAGAGTCAATTCTTATCGTTGAAGTACCAAAGGATCAGACGAAACCATATCAAAAGTAATAAAACACTATTTTGACCGGATTGAAGTTATGTATTATTATAAATTTACAACTATTTAACATAATTTTAAATTTATCCGACGTTTCGCGTGCTTTACAGCGTGCGTGGTCACGGTGACCATAACACGGATAAATTTAAAATTATGTTAAATAGTTGTAAATTTATAATAATAATATTCAATCCGGTCAAAATAGTGTTTTATTAAATGAATAAAAGTTATGTTAATCAAAGACAATACCATATCAAAAGTGCTAATGCATTAGCAATAAACAATAGATTCGTCATGTACGTAACTTAAACAGGTTAAATATTATATAATGTTCTACAATATACTTAATTAGACCACTAAGTGCGTCCATTACATAACAAAGCAAAGAAACTGAGTCGGCCGCTTGTTCAAATAAAAGGAATTTTCGTGTTAAAATGCATTATATTGTTCAAAACTATACAAAAGGTCAGTCAAAGCGTGCCGGACGTCCATTAACTTCAGAAATTAGGATACTATGCCAAAATTTCCTGTCTCTATAGCTAATTTTCAGTCGATTTGTAAGTGATTTTCTCTACGCTGTTTGTGATAATTAATTAAGGTGCGCCTTTAATGTCCATCATTATGAAATTAGGATAGATAGAAGTGATATGAGACTTTGATAAGCGTAACTTATATTTGACTTAAGTACACATATGACACGTGACCATATGGCTCAGTTGTGGTCAGCGAGAGACTGCTACAAACAACTAGTATATAATGTAATTAATTGTGTTTTTATATGTTAAAGGAATTTTATTTATATTTAAAGTCAAACTTAAGGAAATAATTCATTAATTTATTTGCTCGTGATACGTAAAACAACGTATATAATAGGGAAAGACTTAGGTATTAACTGCATATTTAATCCGTATCACCTTGATGGCTGGTAGTCTTCGATCCGCTTCACTAGACTAGTTGTTTTGCGAACTAGCGAATTGTGATATCGACTCCCAGTGGATGTCTTACCTGAGAGCTACGACCTCCAATTGTTTAAAAATAGAGCATACTCCTAACTCAAAAGCCGGCAACGCACCCACTCACGCACACACAATGTCCATGAGCTGCGATGACTGCCTTTTATATGCGTAGTCTATTTTTTTTATAAGGTAGGGTTTAAAAAATTACTTAAAATAAGTGTATACTAGGGCAAGCAAGGTAAATATGTTTGTTATTGGGCTTTCTCATCGTCTATAAGCTGTGGCCTACAAAAGTAAATATAAAATAAGAGTAACGTTAGGTTTTATAGTGACTTTCAAAACAAATTGCAATACAATTCTTGGGTATAAAAGTTTTCGTTCCGACGTAGCGGCATATGACAGTTAAATTGGAATAACAGCTTCAGCAGGGAGTTACTTTGGGCTTCTAGTTTGATTTTTATAATTGTACATGGGTTCTGGTTTTGGTGATGTTTTTATTAATAAGGTGACTTCACTGAGACAAACGATAAAAAAATTACAGTCTAGCTGACTAGTGGGTCATTTACAACTTACTTGAGTTTCTAAGGAAAAAGTCAATATAGTTTTGGCGTAAAGCAGTGTAAGTAGTGTTGGCCTAGTGGCTTCAGCATGCTACTATCATGCCTGAGGTCGTAGGTTCGAACCCCGGATGTGCCCTAACTTAATTTCTGTATATGTACACATTTTCACACTCACCGTACGGTGAAGGAAAATATCGTACTGAAACCGGCATGCCGTAGACCCAAATAGTTGATGGTGAATATCACGCACAGACAGCTGGTCATCTACTTGCCTATTATAAAACGAATGATGTCGAAATCACACTTAAAAAGGGGTTGGAGCGCCACTGCATTTCATTAAATATAATAAAAAGTTTAAATCCCAATTTATGTTTATGTATTCTTTCGTATCGTTAGTATATAATGAAGCACTCAAAGCTACGTTTCAAGGGTGTTTTATGACAAGCATCTGCGACCAAGGCTATGACGTAGCATTACAAATCCATTAAAGATGTTATCACAGCAATTTAACACTCATTTGCCGACTCAGCTTATTTTTATAATTTTGCTTTCATTATGTCTTTGTTTACTTAGGTGAAATACGAAATGTACCACAGATAACACGATATTAAGGTTGTGTTAATTTAAGAATGTGTTTGGAACATTATTTTTATTTTATCAATATTAGTAATCTACTCGTACAGCCGCTAGACTGAAGAATTTTAAGGAGAATCTTAAATAAGTTCTAATAAATGTCAGTTTAGGCATGTCAATGTATAATTTGATTGTACCTAATTAAATACAAAATGCAAGTGAAACATATTTTTAACATACCTTAATATAATGGGGATAGTTTAAAATACAAAGTTAACTATTAAATTGCAATTGCTCCGCCTGCAGTGACGTCGTAAAAAGAGGTTCTCTTGTGTCTATTTGATAGATAATTTTCGTTATGGGACCTCTTTCTCCTATTACATTTTATTTTTAAGTTTCGTATTATGTTATAATCCTCTTAAACTTTCTTATAAAACAGTTTATTTTTTTCCATTTGATGTTAGATCATATTGCTCTGAAGCTTATTATCGCCGCGTATCGAAACTTTATATTATATATATAAAGTTTCAAATCTTCTAGGTTATATTATTTTATTTCATATAGCAAATAGAAGTATAAAATGCAAACTTATATTAAAATATAAATTTTGCCCAGTAAGTTGTTATATTGTGAAGTTAAAACCGTGACGAGTGACGCTGCAATGCGAAAAATAAACTGCAATGAACGCTAAAGTATGCCAAGCTCAAGTGTAGTAAAGTGGTTTTAACGTGTTCTGGACACATAATGTGAGTGTATCAGTATGTGGGCGGCAGAGTTCATCTGTATCTTCATACTTTTTGGTAAGTTTAATACTTTATTTATTTATATACACCTTTTTCCTGATATCTCTCTCGCTTCCACTGTCATTATACATATAACTTAAAAAACTTGTTGTTCCGGTCACTTTACAGCAGTGGCCAGCTAGCTGCCATTACTTTGATATAAAGTATTAAGCCTATTAACTGAAACGTCGACAGTATTATGTAAGTAATTTTGCACGCTTTGAAATACTCGGCAAGGGTGGAATGTATTTCTGTTTCGTAAATCTCCAATGCAAGTATATCAAGTGATTACTTTTTCGCCGGGAATCGAACCTAGCGACTGAGGTGATTTACGAACCACTTGCCCGAACTTCGACATTTATTAGACATTAGGTTAGAAAAATTGCAATTTTTTTATGTCATTGAATGCGCTTATAACAATTGTGTTCCTTACTTAATCACTGTCAATAAATAGGATAATTACATCACTAAAACTGCAAGACTAGGCTAATAATATATAAAAAAAGCCAATGAGAAGTTGAAAGTGCGAATGGTTTTCTTCTGGAAACTTAGAGATCTGGAATAAGCAGAGTTGCGGAGTCAAATGGCTCGGATTAAACAAAGCGTTCATATTTCACTGTAATATGCTTTACGAATGAGGCCACACGAGCTGTCTATTGTCTACGAAAATCGCTAAAGGGTTTTATTTCCATTTGTAATGATACAGCTAAATGAAGCGAAATAGTTTTCCTTGGAAAATACAAAATGGCAGGGACAAACGACCCTTAAAAGCCTTTCTCGATAACTATTTCCCTTGTAGCTTCCTTTTTGGAGATTTCTAGTTTGCCCCTATAATGATGTGGCCATTTGCAGATAATTTTTAACAACCCATATGCTTTGGTAATACTTCATATTGTTTTAGATCACATATATTAATAGACAAAATTAAAAACATGTAATAACAGAGTTCTGAAGCTCATACAATAAGGTTAAAAATGTATTTAAATCACTTACATAGAACTAGTCTTGACATGAATTTAGACGCATTATTCAATTTTAAAATAGAACATTATCGTAAACACGGAATAAGAGCGTAATAGAAATGCTACTACGCTGCAAAGCTTACATATAAATCTCTCCAAGCTTGTGCTACTAGTAGCTTCAAGCTACTTTGTACTTTAAACAGTACTGGCCAAGTTTACGCCAGTACTCTTCAACCCTAAGGTCGTGCGTTCTTTCCCTGATGAGTTTTTTTTAAATGTAACGAAGTGTGAATAAATAAATGAGTACTGACCCATTTTTCTTGCCTCTATGTGCGTACATATAATATTTGTTCGTTCGGTTAAAATTCTCAAATGGCTTAAGTATCCGTTACCAATTAATAAACAACTCTGATGTACAGCTGTAAGATTTCAATAGAAATATAGTTAATATTTTACCAATTTAAATAACAAAGTAATCGCGGGATAAAAATTAATAAACATTATTAAATTCGATTATAATGTTTATATTAATTCAAAAGACATCGCGATACGGTAGATTAATTTGAATAATTCATTCAAAATATTAACGCAATAAAAATTAATAATTTTCATAATAAACTTATTAACATAATAGCCAATAAGTTACGTATACTAAAAAACCTCAACATTGAAATACGATGCCATTCAGGTTAAATTATGGCCTACGTAATAATTTAAAATACTCTTTAACATTAAATCGACGCTGTTAATCTATTTTATGAAATAAAAACAATTTTTGTATTAAAAAAGAGTAAGCACATCATCAACAATTACGCTAACAAAAAAACCACATAATATGATCCATATAATAAAACCAAACGCCATATTAGAAATTCATAATCTAGGGTTTTTTTTTAAGTACAACTACGCAACTTAGCGTAGTATTTTATATGAAAGTCTAATGCACTCTCTATAGAAACATTAAAGGAGTTACAACTCACACAGCAATATTTCGGGCACAGGTTATAGACGTATCAAGTTAGGGAGTACAGCACTGGTACAATGTTTTTTGGTCAAGTGCCTAATGCACACAATAGCACCAACTTATCTTCTTTTGTACTAATTCTCTTAAAATATTTTTTTCTTGTTCATTTAATACACATTTAATAGTTTTTGTAATGTGTGAGTTTAATCTCTTCATTTTCAAAACAACTTTGTCTCGTTCTACTTTTCCTCATCTTATATTTTATATAATATAATGATGACAAGTTTATATAAAGTTCGTCAGACAATTTATTCGTATAGCTAATGATGTTTTCCTAACATGCAAATAGGCGATTAACTGTTAATACTGAGCAAATCATGAACTTTTGGATTCAAACTCATGATATTTGAGATAACTTATGTAAACGAGTTCTCGACTGAAATACGATTGTAAATACGATACAAGCTCGAATATAGTTTTATGAACTGTCAAATAACTTTACAATATATTTGACATTTGACAGCGTTTTAAGATAGTTTTGAGATTGCTGTTCATCAAACGTAAGAAAAATGTGTAGACAGTTTGATCGGTTTTAAATACTGTTGCGAATTCCATGGAATATTTCGTATTTAAATCAAAAGGTATTAATTAGGTTAGACTTTAACTTGCGAGAAATTTGAGGAGAAACATACAGAATTTAGCACACATGCTTGGTACCACAAATAAATCATCATATACATATTATTCGATTCCAACAATATCACTTACATATTTCCTTCACTGGCCTTATCTCTGTTCTCTCAGGCAAAAATGATTTGACCCCTTAATAAAAAATGATTTGCCACATTTTTACTCGTTTTTTAATGTTAATTTAGCGATCAACCCTCGGTGGTTTACACACATCGAATTTTTTTGTTGTTTTCTTTTTACGAAATATTATTTTTTAGAGCTAATGTAGTAATGTAGTGTTAGCTAAATGTTTTTACTTCTCACGTTTTTTCTATATTTGGGCGGCGGCCCTTCATCATTAGAATCAGCCATGTCTTAATAATTGTAATGTGGGTAGGAACAAAAGAATCACCAAAGTCATATATATAACAGAGTTTTAAATTCCAGTTGACATTAATATCTATATTTTAACCCAAAATATTCATTCGGGATCCATGAAACCAGTTAGTGTGTAGTCAACAATTTAATGTTGTTTGATTTTGTTACTGCAAACAAATAAATTGTATTTGTTTAGTTAATTTTGCTGCATAGAATATGCTCGTGTGGTTAGACTGCTGTTTATTTTAAATTGGTTCGCAAACGTAACAATTAGGGTTTCAAATAAGCTTATTACTAAATTAAATTAATTAATAATTCAGACTGCTATAAGTATATCACGTATGTATACTGTTTCATTTTCTGTTGTGTGAAGTTGTGTATCTTACGCAATTGTAAGAATGTCCGTGTTCCATCCTCACGTTGTTGTCATATTATGTATTTATGTTTTAAAAGGTAATATTTATATTATAGCCGATATATAGACAGCACTGATGATTGACTAACATAAGCCAACGAATCTCATACCTGAGACCGGAAATAGGGTATCACCTACTGTCTGTGAAAAAACTGATCAGTGAAAAGAAAGCAGAAATGTTTTGCGCGCCATCGTAGTAAATAGGTACTTCAGCGCACCACACGTTCTCCATTTTTTAACATAAGATATGATAATTATTTACAATGTTAACCTTTACCGAGTAACTCCACACAGAAAAATCCATAGGTGTGATTTGAAATCACAACATCAGGATTGCAGATTGTACACTCAACCGCTGGGCTTCTTTCTACTTAATACCATACTCGTAAATTTATATTAAATATAGTTAAAATAGGTCTTGACTTCAAACTTAAGGTTAAATAAGCAAGAAGGGGCTCAGCCCTCTGTGCCAGACACACGTCGTCGATTTTTGAGTATGAAGCAGGCGGTTTTCTTTTACGCACTTAGAATTAAAAATTCTTTGGTTCACAGCCGTGATTCGAACGCTCGACCATGCACTGCTCTAGATTTAAAACGTAACTAAATATTTAATACAAGACCGTAATGGTTTTCCAGTGATTATGTTTTAGCTTTGAGCGAAATAAAATGCGGAATATAAAATTTCTTATCGATTTTGAATTTAGTGAAAGCCTCCATTACGAAGATCCCTTGTGGCTATTAGGATTTTGCGAAAAATTGTTCTTTGTAAAATCGTTGGAAAAATGACAAAGTAAATATTATTTTTCATGATAGGAAGTCACTTTAGACAGAAAAAGGAACTGAATTTTCAAATAATATGCCGAATAACATGACGATATCATTTTAACGTTGATCGTTCGTAAAAAAAATCAAAAGTGAAAATTCACAGTTCGTAGTCATTGCGTCTAACTTAACCAAGAAAAAAATATATGTTGATAACCGAAGGAGGAGTCGGTATTTTTAAATGCTATGTTCTGCTGGTTAAAAATGCTATGCTCAATACGGCCCACAGTTGTATAAAATATGGGAAAAGTATTGATTGGAATAATTAAAAGAATTGCTCGTTTCAACAAAGTTGCCCGCAAACAATATAAGTTCCCATTTATACATAATATAAACTATGTACACACACACTAAACGATAATACCGACCATATTGAATATATTTATTGTTTAACAGTACACGCCATAATTTTTTATAAGCGGTTGCTAGGTTCACAGATACTTAAATTGTTTAGTCACTTTAAAATTCATTTCTGATATATATATTATATTATACTTTGTTATTATTTCGTATAATGACAGGTACTGCTGATGTTATTCCTTAAATGAAGTATTCAATAAATATTTCATTAAATGAACATTACATATACTTATACAACTATACTATACCTGTGTCATCGTGACAGTAGTATTTGTACCAGGGTTTTATACCTACACAAAATAATGCTTCAAAGATAACAAGAAAGTAAATGATTACACGGGTCAACCCAAACTTTGACTTTGACTTTAAAGCATACAATATCGACAATTTAGGTTGTAATTAGACGAAGAAAAAATATATGACAAGAAAACGTTTGCTTTTGTATTTAGGAGACCGTTTGAATGATATTTATATGTTTATACGATTTCTTTTCGTTTTTATGCATAATTAACCGAAAAACTTTAACAAAGAATTCTATATTAGATTTCATTATAATATTACTTATAATGAAATCTAATGTAGAATAACACGTTTCTCTATAAATCAGCTTTTTGTAAGAAACCAAATTCTCCAGGCTAAACGCAAGGAAATTAATACATCTTAAATGCTCTCAGTGAATATTGTTTTACAAATCATTTGTCCTAGATATGTAGGGACATAATAATAGAGTTCTATTCCTTGTTGACAGGTGTGACATCTGGCGGCGGAGGCTGGGAGCCCCTGGGGCAGCCGTACTTCGACAATAGCACTAAACGTGAGGCTACCGCCGCAGTGGGACAGCCAGCCTACCTACATTGTAGGGTTCGGAACCTTGCCGATCGAGCGGTGAGACACATTTTATATATTCAATTGTTTTGATGAATTAGATATATAGAGCTAAACTGCCGGCTATAACTATTCAAGAAGATATTTCTATGGAATTAATTATTATTATTCTCATTGGTAATGGCCAGCATGTCTGACTTCAGATCGTGAGGTAAAGGGATCATATAGCGGGTACGACGGAAAATTAAATTAAGCCGTTTCAATGTCTAAGAATTTTTTTTTGTAGTTAGGGAGTTCTGTGATCACGTAAAGCTATCAATATTGTTTTTCACTGTTAATTCGTTCAGTCAGGTTTGTAATTGAAAAGTATCAAGGGCCCTTATTTGTCAGTTCTAGTACTCTTTTTATACCCCTTATTCCTTTAACAGATAAACTATTTAAACCCAAAAACTGTTAAATGTTTTCTTCTTACAATTCTTATGTCAATATGCAAAAATAAACTTTGGTCTTATTTATATTAAATGAGGGTTTGTTTATTTCAGCTACAACTCAGTTTAGATTATTAGCAATTTAAACATGAGGTGTCCAATTAATTTCTGCTAATTGAAGCGTGCCTGTCCATTATCGTCACCTCTAAAGTGCGTCGCTAGATTACAGATTTGATTATATGGTTATATATCCGAATGGCTTTAAATTATTAAACAGTACTACTACTAGTTAGTCAAAAAGGAAAACATTAATAATATAATACAATAGAAGGCGGAAGTAATAATTATTATATGTTTTTTTAAACATATGTCAACTCGGCCACAAATAATATACAAATACTTAATTTACGTAAATTAAATATTAATTTGATTCATATAAAAATAAACTTTTATTCACTACAAAAGTTATGCCATGTTAGTTAACAAATTATACTTGTAAAAACGTTCTATATGCCTTAATAAGTCCCTTATCGGGTCGAGTAACAAGCATAATTATGAAGGCAATATTTCATGCGAGTGTTAAATCTATTCTGAACTTAATAAATGACTTATGATCGTGACTCAAGCTTTACGTTATAAATGGTCAATGCATCATATCGTTTCTAAAATAACTATTAGTTTTCTATTACTTTAGTCTAGTTAACTTTAGTTTAGGATATGATTACCAGTCATGCTTGATAATTATAAAGTCCGTTTAGTTTCCAAATCATTATAAAAATAATGATATATACAGCTTAGATTTTTTACATTTTATACATTAAATCTTGTTATTCTATATATCCTATATCTTAGCTTGGTACCTTCAGTACCGTCGATAGGAACCCCTTCACGGGTAAAGGCCTCCTCCAGCTTTTTCCAACTGACTCTGTCTATGGCTTTCTTTCTCTGTTTGCTTCCTGCTACCGCTTCTATTTCTACTATCCACCTTTTTTTGGGGCGCCCTCTTCTCCTTCTTCCCCTTGGTCCTTTCCATACAGTTATCTTTAACGTCCACCTATTATATGTGTATCTTGCTATATGCCCCGCCCATTGCCACTTCTGTTATACGTCCTATCACTTTTGTTATACGTCTTACTTTTTCGCTTTTAATCTTATTATTATTAGTATGCTTCTTTCCATTGCTATTTGTCATGCTTAGTTGCTTTAACTCGTTAGATTTTCCGAGTTTTCAAAGCGAAAAAAAGCTAGGGAAAAATGGGATAGAGAAAGTTTTCGCTGTATTTCATTCATCACTATTAAGTTTATGCCTTGTACCCTGAAAAATATTCTTTTCGCGCTGCTTGTTTAATTTCTATTTCGAACATTGATGACAATCTTAAATAGGACAACGAGTGCGTATCGCAGCGCCACTGCAACTTGATCTGGGAGTCATTAAATAGAATCGCCTTACAAGGCACGATCTTAGCCTGTAAACTGAGTTTGTTAGTGAAAGAAGTTTATTTATATCTCATCAAAATAATGTGAAATGACATCTGTGGGTGTGGGTTCCAAGTTCTGTGTTCACTCGGGATGTCATTTAAACTCAAGAGTTGATCATGTTTTGCGAGTTGTAAAGGCGGTGACAGCGCGGCTCCTTGCAATTCCTTTTATTGACCTTGGACACGTTGCCGCATGTCTAGAATCGTTCTATTATATGGATGTGGCTTATCCGCTTTTGTGAGAGGAAGCTTCATATGAATATTGTTACAATACGGATTCTATTAAAATGTTGAAACATTTATTTAATATTGGAACTTAACAATTACAAGCACGGTTAATTATGTTCCTAAAAAGATTTGCCAATGATTAAATTGAAACCACTAGATAGATAAATAAAGAGGTTGTCTACATCAAGTATAAAGCGTGGCACAGCAACAAGTTAGTCTAAAAATAAGAAAAATCTTCAAAGATTATCAAACAAATGAAAACCCGTTTTATACCTATTAATTATTATGTAATCGAAACTACATGGAATCACTCCTTGTATTTGTATTAATATATATTATCCTTAACCCATTGTAGGGAAACATCGAGTCTTACAACCAACAGACACGAATTGTGTATGACACGAACTCGCACTTAACCAGTATTAACAGAATTGGATTAAGTCTGCATAGCCCAGCCCATTCTATTTCTTGTAATGGTACTATAGTATATGCCTGAAATCATCGTTAAATAAATATGGCAAGTGAAAAAAATGCACTTCCATCGTGTTTTAAAATAAAAAAATTAATTTAATCAGTGGCGCTACAACCTTTTTAAGTCTGGGATTTTTGTATCTGTTTCATGATCGTTTGTGAATCTAATAGGCAAGTAGGTGATCAGCCTCCTGTGCCTGACACATGACGTCGACTTTTAGGGTCTAAGGCAAGCCGGTTTCCTCACGATGTTTTTCTTCACCGTTCGAGCGAATGTTAAATGCGCAAATAGACGAAAAGTCTATTGGTGCACAGCCGGGGATCAAACCTACGACCTCAGGAACGAGAGTCGCACGTTGAAGCCACTAGGCCCATCGTGTTTTATGCTTGAATAATTTTAAAATATCTGTTTTATAAGATCTAAAAATAAATTTACTGATGTGGAGCCGTTATAGATTTTCGCATTGTTCAAAATCCAAAAGTGAATTGCAGAATTTTATTTTATTTCATACCGAGATAGCTGCATTCAACAGTATTTAAAGAAACTCTATTTACTGGTTTAATCTAACGGAGTATTCATTACGAATAGTGATTGAAATAGACACAACCATGGCAACACTTTCATTAATTATCCGAAATTGTAACAAAACAACTGAGTAATAATATGTTATTATTGGATTCTTCTGGAAAATCATAAATATTGTCTTAGTGAATTAATACATTATACTCACAATACAGCCTTGCGATTCTCTAACTCGCACTCAAATCACTTGTGAAGCAGTCATTTTATGATTTGGCATTCTCATAGTCATAAACAATAAACTAAAAGCTCCCTCCTTATCAGAATGCCAAATCATAAAATGACTGCTTCACGACTGATTTGAGCGCGACCGCCGGTGTGAAAACCGCTGTGTGAGTTCGAAAAGTGAGTTACAGAATCGCAGGGCAGTAAAATTTGTTTTAATATTATATAGCATATCCTTATTTAAGTAAAGCTAACAAAATATAACTCGCTGCTTAGTATTAACCTACATAGTTTATATACACTCTATTTTGATCAAATAAAGGAATAATTTCAATATCAAAAGAGTTAAATACACAAAGCCCCAAGCAATCTGTACGCGTTCCAGTTTATCGGTACTCTGTGGCAAGTAACAATACAACAATACATCGACACAACGACAATAAACAAGCAAGTAGCATTTCGCACCTGTTCTATCGTCTATAGTTCCATTTTTGAAACGCTCTAATAAGAACACAAAGACGTGTTTTCTAAATTTAAAAATCTCGTAGCAGGTTGTCGCGGTTACGTAATTTGTGGCTAAGTGCTACAGTCTAGTAACTAATGTTTGTTGTCGCGTATAATTTGCTAGACAAATTAGATCTGTGATATTTTCAGAAATGTTATGTTAATAAAATCTTATAATTGTGCATATAAGATAGCTATTATTAACTTGCAAACCACCTTGGCTTTCAAAGGGAAACCGTGACTTACATATTGGCGAAAACTTGAAAACGGTGAATACCATGCAGTACCTTTTGAGAACATCGCGAACAGACAGAAAAAATGAACGAGGTGACATTAAACAAAAATATGTAGTTGCAAAATATGTTGCTAAGCTCAAGAACACTGGAAGGTTTTTATGGAGAGATAAACTCGCAAAAAACCTAAAAACCAATATTAATATGTTTTTATTCGGGAAAAGTTAACTGTCTCCATGGGGTAGCATAGCAAAATGTTCCATATGTTGGTATGTAGCTACTATTAATCTTATTAAGGCGAAACGAAGTATGCGGGAGCAGCTAGTAATGAGAGGTAAACTAATTTACCCATCACAAAGAAGAATAAATATTTAATGAAACATAAAAATGAAATTTAGATGTCTGGGACAATATTTATTTTTCTTTTAAATTTAATAAAAAATATTCGTGCACTAAATAAATTGAAAATTCAGTACTATGTCAATATCGTAAAAAAGGACTCCATACATATATCATACACATATTGATTATATTTAACAAAAAGGCTCTGTGAAGGTTTACTTTATACTTGGCATCAAATTCCATTTCTTTGTTTAAGCTATTTCATAAAGACATCCCAATTATGTCACGAATAGACTTATACCATACGGTCAACAGTTAATTAACGTAGACAAAAATATCCACTGGTTGTTATTCGAACGCACTACCTCTTAGTTGAGAGTCGCACATTAGTCTAACACTGCTCATTGGTTCTCGGTCACACATCTGTTGATTGCGTGCCTGATATTCTACGATGTAGAGGTCATTGCTCATAAAAAAAACACTGCTCATTAATAAAATATTACAATTAAAATGAAAAGTTTCTTGACTATGAAAAATTATTACTTAAGCTACGTGGTCTTCAAGTTTTTAATTTAGGTTGCTTTGAAACAACTGGCGTAGGTAAAAAAATGACACTGGAAATTACATTCCT